CAGTCCAGCACTGATATATACTAGCTACATGATATTTTATTGTGTTTTTTGCCATGGTCTGGCCTGTATTAGTCCTAAACTGCAAGGGCCATCTATTCCAGGCTGATGTCTTCGAGGCTGTGTTCAGAACCATCCAAACAGCCCAGGGTTCAACCCTGAGTGGGGGAGTGTGGATCAGGGAAGTCCTAGCTAAGTGTGTAAAGAACGAGACAGAGACATCTTGTCATTTAAGGAGGGCTCTTAGTCCATACTGGAGACACTGGTTTATTCAAGCATTCTCTTTATTATTAATTTTTTTTATTTCTAAGTTTAAATTTAGATTAGAAACAAGGTTGCTTCACAAGTCAGTTCCATATCCCTTTCCCTTTCCCTCCCTTCCTTCCATGCCCTCCCCCCAACTCCCCCGTTATCCCCTCATTTCCCCAGGGAGGGTGAGGCCCTCCATTGGAGTGTCCATAGACTGTCATTTCATCCAGGGCAGGGCCTAGACCCTCCCCCCAAGAGTTCAGGGTGAGAGTTCATCTCACATTGTTGGATGGGAGTCCAAAGTCCATGTGTGTACTCGGGATGAGTGCTGATCTACTGCCCAAGGCTCAATAGATTACCTAGGCCTCCTCATTGATACCCCCATTCAGGAGGTCTTGATCAGCCCCATGTTGGATTCCCAGGCATCATCCTGGGATTCAAGAGTTAACCCTAGTCAGGTCAGCTGTTTCTGGGGTTACATCAGCCCAGTCTTAACTCCTTTGGTCATCAGTCCTCCCTCTCTGTTACTGGCTTTCTTGAGTTCAGCTCAGTACTTAGCCGTGGGAGTCTGCCTCTTCTTCCGTCAGCCACTGAATGAAGTTTCTGTTTCTGAGACTCTCTGGCCAGGGGATTGTAGGCTGGCACTCCCCAGATCTATGTCTAAAATCCATATATGAGAGAGTACATGCCATGTTTCTCTTTTTGTGACTGTGTTATCTCACACAGTCTTCTAGTGTCATCCATTCAAGCATTCTCTTAAATAGCTTTCTAGTACTCAGGAGAAGGCATCTATTATCATGTATATAGGGCTGACTAGGAAACACTTCCTTTAACCCCAGAGATGGTCCTAGAGTGCACATACACAAACCTCTTGTAACTCAAGTCTCACTAGTCCTCAGGTGTGCCTCACTGACCCTCAGGCATGTCCCAGTGATGGGTGTGGGGCCTAGGTCTATTGTTACACAAACTAGAAGTCATTCTCCACTGTAGCCAGGCTATCCTCAGGTAACTAGCCAAAATCTAAAAGACAATAGGAGATTTGAACTCCCGAAATTGAGCTGAGGCCTGTACCAAAATATCATATTCAGCCCCCAACAGGTTTACTTTGACATGGTAAGCAGATTTTTTTTCAAAAGTGACACATAAAATTGGAAATGTTGTGCAAGACTATAGTCAAGGAAGATCCTGGAGTGTTGCCACAAGTTGAAGACAACCCTGGCAGACATAATGAGTTTCTGGCAAGCCTGCCTTAAAAAACAAGATACTGTCTCAAAACAAAATAAAGCTAAAAAAAATCCAAGTTTTTAAATTAAATCACTGCTTAAACAAACTATTGCAAGTCTTCATCGAAAAGAATGGCAATCCATGCAGTGTTGCATAGAGAATTGTTCAGGGAACATCCACAGAACTTTTATGGCAAGCTCAAGATAATCTTATCTGCACTTTTTATAGACAACAGCCAAAGAATGTTTTCTCAAGTTGCTTTATAAGCACTTTGTGTGACATTGAAGTATCAGTTAGCCATATCAGCCAATACTTTAATTTTTTTGAGACAGAATCTCCTTATATAGTCTTCACTGGGCTGGAACTTGTTCTATAGACCAGAAGAGACAGCAAATTCATAGAGATAGATCTGCTTGCCTCTGTCTTCTGCCTGCTGAGTACTAGAGCAAAAGTTGTCCAGAACCAAACTGAGTCTTAAGACATATCTTGCAATTATGTATAACTACAACTGGTTTGGAGAACTACTCAGATGATAATGGTTATTATGGCAGCATGAGATATTTCTGTCATAAGATTTATCACTTTTCTTTGTATATAAGTGATATTTTCATTATTTGATATTGGGAATTATTAACTGATCATATCCAAATTTTTTATCCTTTTATCTATTTATATTGTCTTCCTTTCTCACTCTCTCTCTCTTTCCCCCTCTTCCCTTCCCTCCCATGGTGTGTGTGTGTGTGTTTAGTAGTAACCATGGAGGCCAGAAAGTGGCAATAAGTCACCTGGAGCTGGAGTTTTAGGCATTTGTGAACTGCCTGATATGTCCTATGATAGAATAGGAAGTACTCTTAGCACATACCCATCTTTCTAGCCTGTTTACTCACATTCACTTTTTAAACTTTTTACTTTGAATAAGCCTATTCAAAAGTTATAACAACATGATTTAGATAATATGTGTTTTATCCAAACTATTTAGTAATTATAAAATAAAATCAAGAGTGAAGGCTTTCTTTTCTATCAATAGTCATGAAGTCTATTGTGCAAATCTCACCTTTGATGGAAACTAAGCTAGTGAAGATCTAGAACAAATATCTTAGTATAATCTACAATGTATGAGAGACAAATTCACTCTCACAATGATTTTCAAATGCCCATTATTCAATTTTTGCCTTTAAGACATCATATATACTAGCAAAAGTAACCAAGACCCAAATCAGTGCCTTGTTTCCCTGATACTATATTAAGAGGATGGATCATCACGTCTCTGAATCCTTTGGGAAAATGTATCTCTAAATCTCACTTATGCTCCTGTAAAAGACTGGCAATCAAGCATATCTGTCTATACCAAAGAATTCATGAAACACTAAGTTAAAATTCTACAAAGGTCAAGAAAGGAAATAGGACAGAAAATAACCACATCCATGTGCTTTACCTTCGTAAACTGAACACAGGACATCTCATTAAGAGGATTTCATTGTCTTTCAGCATTGATTATTTATATTTTAATTGTGCATATTTCTGGAGGACCCTATGATACTTTGATGTATGTATAGAATGTATAATGATCAAATGAGGATGGTTGGCATTTTTTTCCATTGTTCAAGACAGGGTTTCTCTGTATTGCTTTGGAGCCTATACTGGAACTCACTCTGTACACCAGTTTTGTCTCGAACTCACTGAGATTCTGCCTGCCTCTGCTTCCCCAGTGCTGCGATTAAAGGTGTGCACCACCAAGACCTGGCGATTATTGATCTTTTTATTTCCTAAACCTGTTTTATCATTGTTGTTTAACACATTGCAACTATATATACTTAAGAAGTATAGTATGATATTTCAGTAAAGCACAATGTGTAGTGATCACAAAAGGTGAATGGATGCTTCTCTCACTTTATCATTACATAGTGTTTAGAGTTCTAAGTAGGTCTCTGTTGCTGGAATATGCACCATGACCCAAAACAACATGAGGAGGAAAGGACTGAATACACCTTCCACTTCCTGGGTAGGTAGCTTTGAGGGAAATCAATAAGAACTAATGAAGAAAAATTTTGCTTGTTTTCTGTCTCAAGAACAGCTTGATTTCTTCTACAACCCAGACCTGCCTGCCTAGAGCTATGAACATCCACAGTGGACTGGTTCCATATACATCAATTATCAATCAAGGTGATATCTTACAGATATGGCCACAGAACTAGTCAATTATTCATTCAACATATGTTGGTCTTTTTGATAATAGTCATTGTGACTAGCACCAATGATACTAATATTTTGATTTTCATTTTTCTTGTGCTTTTCAAACATTTTCAACCATTAGTGCTTCTTTTGAAAACTATCTTTTTTTTAACTTTCCCAGTTTATAATTAGACATTTAGTTGTTACTATAGGAGAAGGATCAGGAGAAGAAGAGGTGAAGTTTTAGGTCTAAGGTTGAGGGAATTGGTCTCTACCAGATCCTGTTATAAATGCAGATAGGTCAGGAATCACCACTAATGCCCTTGGAAGCTTTGCCTTAAAAAATCAACTAAAAATTTTATATGTAACTAGTCAAAAATACGTGTCATTTTGAACGTCTCAAAAAATAAGATAAAACTCAATCAATGACAATATTAACATATGTATAAAGTCCTGGTGAGAACTTATAAAAACAGTATCTAGCAATAAAATGTGTGATATAATCCAATAGTTTCAGAATTTCTTTTTATAATCAATTATGTAATTAGGGTCAGTGAACATGTGCAGAAAGTCTAGAATCATCCTTTCAAAATATTTTACTAGTTCTTCTTGTTGAATGTCAGTGTCACCACTCACAGAGTTTGACCTCATTTATTGTGTGCTATAAATCACATCACAATCTGTAGATTCATTCTTTTCCAACAGGAGAAATGTCTTTGTTAGTGAACAGCTTGACACATGTAGGTATGGACTGAAGAACAAGGCAAGGGCACATGCCTGTATCATTACTTCTTTTTACAAAGAGAGAAATGTCATTTCTTCTTGTAACCATATTTAAAGAAATCATAGGAGCCATGTTTATAGTATTCCATCTATAAACAGAGATATTGTTCATCTGCATTTCACTTTACTACTAAAAAGAAAAGATGAATAAATGAATTGACAGTAGGAACCACAACCAATTCATAGAATAATTTAGACCTTGATTTCTCTCTTCAGCTGGACTTTGCCGAATATGTCTTCCTAACTAGTTTACAAACACTTCTTATTTCATTAGCTCTTTTCTTGTCATAACTTTTGAATACTAAATTCTAAAATGTCAAATAACAAGGCTTTAGCTTGTAAGTTGCAATGAAAATAATGATGACTTGAACTTTCTCAAACTTTGCAGTGTCATCTTGTGGTCTCTTTCCATCATTTAGTTTCTATTACAAAACTTAGAATTCCTGAATTTTATCCCAGAGTCAACATTAAATGGTAAGCAACCTTTTGGTTGCTCATTACCCTTGTTTACCAAACAAAGTTTGGGCTATTGCTTTCATTTTAAGATAATATTTCTCTTCAACTTGATTTCCTAGGGAGCGAGCTTTGAATACAACCCAGCCTGGGTCCCTTCAGCTTACTGTGGGGAACTTGAAACCAGAAGCCATGTACACCTTCAGAGTTGTTGCCTACAATGAGTGGGGACCAGGGGAGAGTTCTCAACCCATCAAGGTGGCCACTCAGCCTGAGTGTGAGTATGAAAATGGAGGGGCAATTTTAAAAGCATTTATTTTCATCTACAATGTACTTGCATCCTCTCATAGAACTTTTGAAGTGACAACATGGAAGAGAGATCTTTGTAACAACACATTTAACTTGAGCAGTTTTAAAAGTGAATTAACATTTTAATGAGATAGTCATCTTACTCAAACCATAATGTAAAAATTATGAGCTGGGAAGGCCCAAGTCATCCCCATAGCCTACATGTTTATTACCTAAGAAGCATCTTACCGAACCTAATAGTATTCCATCAACATCATTTCCATCAATTTTTCATATATTTGTTATTTTTCTATGAGCAATCTACTATTAAAGAAAAAAAACCAGTGGCATGGAACTTTTAATCTCAGGAACTTATTAAAAAACTTAAATATGCATCAAGTATACTAAAGAAGCTATCAGAAGACGACCCAGGACATTGGAAATATGGGCAATTGATTCTATTAGCTACATTGTCCTCTGAATCCAATCACTATATTAAACTATATAATCACAAAGTAAAAGATCTGAATACTTTAAAAACTTAAAACTTAATTATTTCTATTTAATGAAGAGTCCCAAGGAGACAGGGCAGTGGTTGTGCACACCTTTAATCCTTGCACTCGGGAAGGAGAGGCAGGCAGATCTCTGTGAGTTCAAGGCCAGCCTGGTCTACAGAGAGTTCCAGGACGGGTATAAAGCTACACAAATAACCAGAAATGTGGAAGACCCAAAGAGTAGCAAAAAGTGTATAATTATATTTGGTGAATAACTTATGTGTACCTACTAATATCCCAGACCATTAAAACACTTAGGAAGGAACATGCTTGCAACTTATTAACAGTACTTACAAATCTTGGAAACATCCTGAAGAAGTAAACAGCACAATATATAAAAGAAAAACATCCCAATGCAAGAACTTGCAGGAACTTGTTAAATAGAACACAAGTAGAGTTATGTTTCTGTTTTTGAACATGTTTCCAGAGATGACTATTGGTCAGTTCATTTTTTAATGCTTATAAATTTGAACGCACCATCTCAGAGCAACGTTGTATTAAAAGCACTAATAACATGTCCTAGTATCATTTATTCCTGCCCCTTCAGAAAGAAATAGAATAGAGTTGGCACAATAGTCAGTATTTAAGAACTGACTTACCATAACTAAAGACATGGGTTTAATCTGGCACTGCAGAACAAACGAACAACAAAGAAATCAGACTCTGACTCCTATAAAATTTATTTTACTTAGCTTCTGGCATACACTATGATGAAGCAATTAAATAACAAAATATCCAATCAAATGATCTAATTGGTGATATGATAACAAGTAAACAATTTTTCCTCAAAAGAATGAAAACGGAGATTCCCTTAGGTTTAGAGACACAATGCTGTCTTGAATATCTTTTCATTGAGGACAATAATGACCTTAGGATTTCTTTCAAATTTTTTTCTTTATTCACAGCATTTCATTTTGAATAGCCTCTGTTCTTTCTTAGTATGGAATAAAGACCATTTCCTTTGCAGTTGTATGTTGCACTATGACCTACCTCTGTTTCCCATGAGTTTTCATTGACTCATTTATATCTTCCTATATCATCATCATGAATATCCTTTAGGCTGCAGACAGGGAACTACACCCTTCAACTTATTTATACTGTACTCTGCAGCTCAGTTGCTGCATTTCTTATAGACATTGGGATAAATAAATTGCATTATCATGACTAATAGATGCTGCAGTAAATGACATTCTAGCAACAGAAAACCATCATTTGCATTACTTAGTATCACACCAAATAGTGAATAAGATGGCATACCCAAGAGATCCAGTCTTCTCCCATCTCCACTATTAATAAATCCACTGTCTGTATTTTTTAGAGGACATGTAGAGGTGTATTTCATTATGTGGCTAGAATTGAGAGTGACAAGAGGAGAAGTTTTGTCAATATTTTCCACTAGCAGAACCGTTTTATCTTTTGAAAGCAGATCCCATCTGGGTTTACCTTTAGTTGCTGATTTTACTGCTGTTTTCCCAAATGTGATGTAGCAATTGTATACTGACATTGCACAGCTCTTATACAAATTTAATGTCCAGATTTTAATTTTATTTGAGAAACCAGCTCCATTAGGAAAATTGTATTTTCAAAGAATAAAACTGGACACAAATATGTCTGCAATATGAATCTCCAGCAACTGTTTCTACAAGTGCATGCCTTCTGTGGTAATCATTTAGAAAGATCAACAGCCCAAGATCAAATTTATAAAATAATAGCCTAGAACAGAAAAACCTGGTTTATGTGAAGGTGTGTATCATCTGATTATATCTTCCTTTTGCTAAACCTTCGCCCTTTCTCCCTTGCTTTTGTGGTGTGTAATTTCTTCACTGTATTATCAGGCAGGATTTAAGTCCCTGCCTGACTAAGACATGTCTAATCTTTTCATACCACATGTGGCGAATTTTTGAATTATTATGTGGTACCCCATAAAATGCTGTAACAGCAATTTAATCATAAAGGATGTTAAAATGGACCACATACAGGCTCAAGGGACTAAGTTACAATACAAATCCTGTTTGCTGGATGACAATGCAATTATCTGCAAAACTCTTTTTTTAGTTAAGAATTGCAAGTAATGTTAAGTCTCCTACATTCTTTACTTGAAAAGATAGTGAAAGCCATCTCTCATATTGAGCAACTTAGAAATACACAGCATAAATGCAGAACTGTAATTATATTTTACTCCTTTGTATATTATTTTTTAATTATGGCAGGCTTCTACTTGTATGGTAGTTATAGTCAGAACAGCAATTACATCAGAGAATATTATTGCATGTATCATAAAGGCTATTTCTTAATTGTTGATATGTCATTCAGTTTTCTGAAGTCTATAAAAGCAGATATTATTTATTTCATCATTTCATAGGCTGTGAGGTTAAATGTAACAAGAAGAAATTCTAGGTCTTGTCAGACATTTAGTAGTCACTCATTAGCCATTAAGTCTCCTGTACTAGGCCTTTTTTGGGGGGAAGGGAATACCAACCTGCTATCAGTCATGACACAGATACTTATTAGTTATGAATGCTCAAATTTATCTTAGCTCTTATTTTAATCTGTTGTTCTTTATCTACATTTTGCCTCTGGGTTTTCACCTCCCTTCTTTCCTTCGTTCCTTCCTTCGTTCCTTCCTTCGTTCCTTCCTTCATTCCTTCCTTTCTTTCTTTCTTTCTTTCTTTCTTAGTTGCTTCCTTCCTATCTAACTTTTCTACTGTGTCTATGTTTGGCCGGTAGCTGCCTGGTTTCTGGCACTGGGCATGCCCCTCCATTTCTCCCTTGTTCTCTTCATTCTTCTTCTCTCATTCTAGATTTCTCCTCCTACTCATTCTCTCTGCCCAACAGCCCGCCTATTCTTTCTCCTGCCTGACTATGGTCATTCAGCTTTTTATTATTCCAATCAGGTACCTTAGGCAGTCAAGGTGAAATGGCAATACATTTTTACATAATTAAACAGACATCCATACACGTTAAAAAATGCAACATAAACAAATGTAACACACCTTTACACAGTTAAAGTAATATTCTGCAGTATAAACAGATGTAACACATATTTACATAGTTAAATAGTCTACAACAGTCTCCTAATCCTGCCAACTTGAATATCAAATAAGAATATTATATCAATTCTCCTGCACTATAAAAGAAGTGATGCGCTCACCGGTAATCACCTTAGTTAGTAGGGATAACATGGGAGCTACAGTTTGATTACTATCAACATTACTCTACATCACACAAGAGTAAGCCCTTGAAATTTCAGAATATTTCACTGACTAATTCTCTAATACTGCCCATTGTACATTCTTGTAACACTAAATACATTTAAGTCTTATGATAAAAAAATAATAAATCATTTCATAATTGGGCTATAAAGTAACAAGTTGTTACTTTATAAATATTTGATTGATTAGAAAATACAAATAGAATAAGATTTGTACTGTGTGTGATGAAGATGAGAAATACAAGTTATATTTCTTTATGATTCTATGAATTAGTTGTTCTGTGCAGATAATTTCTTTAATCACCCGAGCTAGTTTCCAACAATCACTGTCTTGATCATAAAGTAAGTAGAATGAATATCTGAAAAGATTATTATGGCAAAGGTGATGACTAGCTGATTGATGGTAGTCTAGACACAAGTCTGGACCGTAAAAGCAGGAAGTAGACAAGAATTGCTAGTTTGTCTCTTTTAGAAGCCAACAGACATTGATAACACATTAAAAAGCCTCTCAGTGCTAAACATATTTTTAGCAGGTGGGACCTTATGGCTAAACATTCTTAGTGGTATAAGACATAAGAATCCCATATGAATTCATCAATTAATTGAGATACGGCTTTTATGATTATGAATATTAGTGGAAGAATTAGCAGTAATTTTAGAACAGTGGGCTGTTTAATAATTATTAAATCAATGATTTTCAGTCTTTCTCTGTCTAATCAACATTAAATATTTAATGTTAAGTTCTAAGCCTGCTCTATGCAGTAGGGTAACCCTCTCTACCATGTCTATGGATTTGTAACTGTACTGAAATGAAATTCATTTTTTAGTCATGACAGTGATACTTCAACTTATCAATGACACCTAAAAATCAAATCAAGTTGAAAATCAGCATTAAAATACTGTGTACTGAACCAGTACTTACTGTTCTAGACAGTACAGAGCACATTTCCATGATTGTAGGATGTTTTCTCACATGGTACCAGTGAACACTTCATTAGTAATTGAGGAGAGAAATGCCAGTCAGGGTATCATACCCATTCTCAAGGCTGTATGTCATTAGTAGAAGCCCTTGATTCTATAATACACTAAAATGTAGTAACTACTATAGTCCACATCTAAGCCAATTTGTATTAATGCGCTTCCTTGTTACAAGAGCACACCAATCTATATAGAATTTATGCAATTGCTTATCAAAATCAATGTTTCAAGACTTTAAAAATTTCT